GATGCATCAACATTCACTCGACAATCCTTATCGTCATTCTAGAGGTTGATGCACGTGAGTTCAGCCTTGATTCTTTTCTTACCTTTTTACCGTTTCTTTATGCAGCGCATTCATTCTTCAATAATGTATTGTTAATGCAGGTGGAATTGAATTAGACATTTTGAATTGATGAATTGTGTATATTTAATCGAGTTAATACATATTGGTGGTGAGAATGATGAACGTGTTGGGGGATTGCAAATTTATCTGGTCGATCTGTATTGCGCAGACCTCTAATTGCACGTGGTAATAGCGAAGACAAGTAACATTGCTGAACAACTGCGCACACTGAGAGAAAAAATTAGCTCTGACGAAAAAGTGTATTCCCTTGGAGAGATCTTTTGTCGTGTTGAATCACGGAGAGAAATTTTCAATAAAAATTACGTATTTTTTCCGTAATTCCGGAGCGAAATGTGGTTGTAGGAAATTTTACGGAACTGTCACGGAATTTTTCCAGAGCGTTCCCTAATTTTTAGCTGAATCTCCTGCGGAAAATTACGATACCGTCACCTGAATTCNCATAAGGGATTTCTCAAAATGTAGTAATTAGTGGGTAAAAATCATCGGGATAAGCTAAATCTTCATTCGTGGCGATGAATGGGTTATGAGGTTGTAAGAGGTTTAACAATAAAAAAAATATCCATTTTCATGTCTTCTCATACATTATTGAGAGAAGGCCTCACATATCTCGATGCTACTGACGAAGTAGATGTCCATATTAAAATTCTTCCTTGAAAAGAGTATGAAAAAAATAGAATATAGTTAATATGCGGCTGAAAATAACTTTTGTCGTTTTCCTCATTCACATATGAATTAATTTCCGTTTATTCACACAGAGAAAGATAGCTAACCGCAAACTATTTGTTCAAAGTTGTTTTTCAATTATTTCATGAATAATAATTTGCTTGTACACGCAAACTATTGTACTCTGAGCGAAAAAATTAGGTCTTAGGTCCAGATATTTAAGGGGTATAAAGACGAGAATTCGTTAATTTATTTTAATTTCCAATCGAATATGAATATTTAGTGTCGAATTGCATTAAATTGTCAGTGAAATCTGAAATTTCATGATTTTTTTTTCACTAAATCGCATTCAGTGTCACTGTCCTAAAAATTTAAGAATAGATTCACCAGAATTTTCTCCTTTTCTATTCATTTTGAGGGAAAAATGGAACAGAAATTTACAGTTCTATTTGATTTTTTCACGAAATTCAAAATTTTCAATGAGAAGATTTCCTGAAATTTCAGTGGAATTGGAACACGATAAACATTTTCGGAATTTGGCACGCAAAATTCAGACAAAAATTTTTAACGGTTTCAGTTCTCTGTTGTTTTTCTCTCAGTGTAATATGTAAACAAACTATACAATTTGGGATGGCCGTTTCTCCCGAAATTCATGGAAGGTTCAGAACAGTACGGAATCCTCTAAACCATTCGGGAATCGGGTAAATATATAGTATCACTCCCCCCCCTCCGATTTCGTTCAATGTTCATTTCTATGTTACTAAATTAACTCAGGATGTGGATTATGCGATTATAGGATACACTTTACTGATTTTTCCAACTATCCCATAATCCATATCCTGAGTTCTACAAATCTTTACGAATTTCGTGATTATAATGCAGAAGCTAACGTTTCGGAAAGTCAGGGACGTTTCTAGAAAGTTATAAAAACCTCCAGACCACTACAGCCGTTTTCTGCGAGGGAGTTTTAACATTAATTTCGCGTGATTTTATCGTAAAATTACAGTAAAAATTCATAAAAACTTGTCGATGAATTTGAGAGCTTACCTCTGAGACCCTCACAGTAAAAACGAATGTCTGAATTTCACACACTTTTTGCAGTCATTTTCCAGATATTAAAAAACGTGTGAATAAAATGAAAAATTGTCTGAATTTCAAACAAGAATTAAGATGTTTGGGCACCTGTTCGTCTGAAATTCAGACACATTTTTATTTTATTCAGACATTTTATAGTGTCGGGAAAATTTCTACAAAAGGTATGTGAAACTCAGACATTTGTTTTTGTTGTGCTTTAATCATCGATGCTCTAGTTGCTCCGACAACATTTCAGAATATTCTAGACTTTTCTAGCATTCATCGCCTAAATGTTGATTTCAACATGCAAAAAAGGAAAAAATTTGAACGAAAACCACTAGTGTAAACAAATTCCCAATTATCCCTCAAATGACCATTAATCAGTCGTAAATTGGGAGTGGTCCAACAGCATGTGACTCGTTTTTATTTATCACTCCATGAATGTCATCATCATTCTTTAATTACAAAAACTCATCGTTAATTCTCATTTCGGCTATTTCATGAATAATCCATTAACTATTTTTCCCGAGGGGATGAATATCCTTGAGCCCTGGGTTATTGACATCGTCGATGGCTAGTGTTGCGAGTTAAACGGGTTTTCACGTGTGAGTCACGAGATTGAGAAGCACGTGATGTTATAGATAGATAGATAACAAAAAATCATACCGCCCGGTTATAAAAGCGTACAGTGAAACTGCGGAGCCACTGTTTTCTACCACGAGGGTCAACTGGTATCAATTAAACTGTCACATGACGAGATCGCTCGCTGGAAGAGGATTGAAAAATTCAATTGAGGGACAAATAAATAGTCACGAGAAAAGTATTTCCTTGATTCGGTCGACATCAAGGAAATGTCGCTGGGGGGATTCACCTTTTTTTTCTTCTTTCTTGTGAATAACGATGCCCAGTCACATGATGCATCAACATTCACTCGACAATCCTTATCGTCATTCTAGAGGTTGATGCACGTGAGTTCAGCCTTGATTCTTTTCTTACCTTTTTACCGTTTCTTTATGCAGCGCATTCATTCTTCAATAATGTATTGTTAATGCAGGTGGAATTGAATTAGACATTTTGAATTGATGAATTGTGTATATTTAATCGAGTTAATACATATTGGTGGTGAGAATGATGAACGTGTTGGGGGATTGCAAATTTATCTGGTCGATCTGTATTGCGCAGACCTCTAATTGCACGTGGTAATAGCGAAGACAAGTAACATTGCTGAACAACTGCGCACACTGAGAGAAAAAATTAGCTCTGACGAAAAAGTGTATTCCCTTGGAGAGATCTTTTGTCGTGTTGAATCACGGAGAGAAATTTTCAATAAAAATTACGTATTTTTTCCGTAATTCCGGAGCGAAATGTGGTTGTAGGAAATTTTACGGAACTGTCACGGAATTTTTCCAGAGCGTTCCCTAATTTTTAGCTGAATCTCCTGCGGAAAATTACGATACCGTCACCTGAATTCTCTGAGTCGATTCCGTAATCGGGGAGCGAACTGTGAGTTCCGTAATTTTTACTGAACATTTCTCTCCGTGTATAGATAAAAAGAAAGTTTTCACCAAAACATGATAATTTTCGTAGTCGTAATTGTCTCATGGGACATTTATGTCTTTCAGAGAATTATGAGGCTCCGGTTTTATCCAGTGTATGTTACTGAGAAGTATATATCTTTGCCTAATAAACACTTATAATTTTCATGAAACAAATGATAATTTCAAGAGGAATCTACAACGACAAAGTTACATGAGATTTCTGTGTATTTCTTCATCGACGAATGAGTTAATTTCTTGAGTATTCAACTAATTTCCGATTTTCTGAAAAACGTTGAAAATTTTGAACATTCAGGCAATAATTCTTTTCTGAATTCTCAATCTATTGAAAATTGAACTGTATATGATGTTCAATTTTCACGATGATTTTCGAAATTCAAGCTTTCGTTGAAAAATTAATGATTATTTAACATAAAAAGCCCAATTTTCTTCAATTTTCAAGATGAATGAGAAATTTTGTGAAATGCTTTCATTTGAAATTGAATTCAAACTCACAAAATCGAAAATTAAGATGCCGCTGTGACTGAAATTTCAAGAAATTTCTACCGGTGTAGAATTAGCCAGTCCTGTTCTCAAAAATTTAATTTTTGTGAAAGATATTACATTTTGCAAATTGCAGAGTGCAAATTGCTGTTGATTTCGTTGTGTCTATCTGCTATAATGCGAGTGTGTAATTCCCGTATGAGACCTGTATTTACTAAATCGACTATACGCTAGTCATGTCAAGAGCCTGAGGAGACTGAAATATATCAGCGAAACGCCGCGTAAATGACAATTTGACCAGCGTTGTTTTATTTATGCTCCAAATTCTCGTGATCCATCATCTAATATATTAAATTTTCTTCTATCAAATTGGTTAATTTCCCTTAACTAAATCTATTCCACTCCATCGAATATTCTCACGTGGAACATACTTCTGCGGCAGAGCTAATATTTTCTCTCACTGCATTCTGGACAGTTACGGCTTGTCATCGAGTTCATTCAACAACAATCATTAGTTATTTTCGCCATAATCTTCCTTCTTAAGGTGACCCAAGTGCCATTCATATTTTCGTACTAAAAACATCTCCATAGGATTCGTGGTTTTTCAATAATGATTTTTTAGATTAAACTTCGTCTGTTAAATTAAACTTTCCGAAGAGTATTTTCTACGAATACATGTGAGAATTTAGAAATATCATGCTTTTATCATCCAATTAATTTTTTGGACTATTTTAAATATAAATAAATTACAAGAAAAATGGAAGTACTTAAATTTCCATCTGATGCATAGCACAGATACTCTGCTGGGGTAGTTACACCCTATATATATTTTCATTCTATATAGAACGTTGTGAACAAAAGGCTGAACATCAGTTGTTATCGACTTACAATTATCATCTACTAGAATCTCCTATCACCGTCAGTCATTTTTGTAATAGTAACACCAATAATGAGGGATTATTGACATGATGGACACAGTATTTCAATGACAACAGCGACTCATCAGTAGTTATTATCATGTCCGATCGTCCTTCCTTGAATCAGCGATGTCGTAAATCGGCCCATTACCAGTGTCCTTTTTTTAAATGATTATTAGAGAAGTCTTTATAACTCCGGAGTGCTGCTTGTACGACGAACGTAGCGATTGAAGTAATCAGGCCGCCAACACTTGCAGCTTCCGGGCACGAGAAACCAGTCGTAGTAGAGTCGAACCTATGATAAAGAGTCGTCTTGATGAGTTTTTTTCATTCATTCAAGCATTTTAAGCCAATTACTTTACTCTGCTATCCAGGTGAGTTCATAATAACTATTCAGTAATGAGAGAAATATTTTAATCCTTCGTTACTCGCGTGAAACTGCCCGACGTGGTTACTCGCATCGCGGCGCCGCGCCGTAATGTAAATCTGAGCGCGCCGTTGCCATAGTTCATTTGGAGAGTGAAGCGGCGCGGAGATCTTTCTCCTCTTGTGATCTCCCGGCAGCCACAAGAGTGGCAACACCGTGTGAAATATTTCGCTGACACGATCAGTCGCGTCCCGTCAACCCGCCGTTTTTTTAATTTCCAGTTAGAATGAGAGTGAATTTTCTCTAATCAGGGGCTTTGGACGTGGTTACAAATGGCAGAATATGCTTTTAGATAAAATCAATGAGGCATACAAATTTTGGGACATTTTTTAATGAGTTTTTTCGGAAGTTATCTCATGCGGGGCTTAGCCGGTCTTCAAGCATAACGTCTACTTTCAATTCATTTCCGTAATTCTTGGAATAATGGCCATCAATTAATGATGGTGAAAACTTTGTACATCTTCCACAAAGATAGTCATAAATATCCGCCACATCATCCAAGCTAAGTCGAAACCTGGTTTGCGGCAGCCCTTTGAGTACGAGATTGCATAATTATAATTACCCTCACCTGCAATTAATCGACTAATGGATTTTGAACTTATTAATACATCGGACCTATTTTTTTATTCAATTCGTAATAATTGCATTCATGGATAAACAAAAGAACACCACGTTGTATTTATATACCCGAGGAAAATATCTCGTCGTAAAAAGTTTCAGATGACGTAGTGGAAACACGCCAGACTACGGATCAGAAGGACCCCGGATCGAATCCTTCTCAGTAGGAGCAATTTTTCCAATGTTTAATTTCATTGTATTTCAGTTACAGGTGTGCGGATAATGATTCAGAATAAATAATCGATAAAAAATAATACTGATAATTTTTCTTAATCCATTGTTAATTAATCAATCATCACAATTAATCCTTATCAGGTTATCGACCATTACTAACGGTCTTACCCCAGCCTTTTTTATGGAGTTCTTGTAATCGACAGAAAGATTGATAAAAGAATCAGAAATCATTCAAACAAATATCTATAAATAATGATATAATTACTTAGAAAGAAGCGCGATTGAGCCTTTAAAACTTCTTAATTCAAGGCTTGGATCACGACTTGATGAGCTTTGTCTCCATCATCAATTCCTACCTGAGCAGGCTAGGATTAACCCTCGACGCTTAAAAATTCGAAAAAAAAATTAGAGTTCCTAGTTCAATTCTTTTATTACCCGTTGGCGTTGTCCGCCTTTTTCTCGGGAAATTTGTTTAGCTAAAAGAAGAAAAGAAACCCCGAACGGACGGAAAAGCGCCGCGCTGCCCGCTACGAGTGAGTCCCTGTCGACCGCTCAAGCGACAGCGTTGCTACATTTACTGCTACACTTGGAAGGCGCGCATAACGGTAAGCGCCAATGTGGCAACAGCGGCGCTGCGTTAACCGTGCGACGGATGAAGGCTAGCGGCCGAGATCGAGTGAGCGAGGGTTTATTTCCACAACAGAATTGACTAGTTACGTTGTGGCGGTCTATTACATTGTACAACATGGCATACAAATTACCTGGAAACATCCTCTCTCGTCAACACCATCACAATGATGCTGCTGATTTGTGCTGCGACCTTCATTTTCTCCCGCCCTTTTCTGTAAATACATCTGGAAATTCTGGTAATCTTGCACCGGAGGCGGTGATCCTGCCACTGGTTCTCTCAAGCCCGGTAATCTTCCAGCTGGATTCTCCTCGAGAAATGTGTCCGGATAGAAAATTTCAGCTACTAGGAGACTGGTCCATCGAGGCGATGACAAACAGCCTCCATCGAGATAGTGACACCTTGCCTGCATACACCGGGTTAACTCAATCGTCTGGGTGAAGTAGCCTTCGTAAGGAATCTGCACGACGTATCTCCAGGTCCCCTGGTAATTCTTCGCAAAGACTGGAGTGGCATATTCAACTTTGGCGGGGCATGGGGTTGGGGGTCCAGAGTATTCTGGTTTCTCGGAGGTTGGGGGTTTTTGACGGTATTCTGGGGGGGCTGGCTCGTCTCTACGCTCTGCTGCTGAGGAGGCTAGGGGCTGAATTGCCTTGTATAACATACAGAATCTGCCATCATACCAACATTTTTTGTTATTAATGTGAAAATGAAAATGTCCCTTTTCATTGATATTGCATGGTACATGTGAAGAAAAGTGGTTTCCAATTTATGTGTTGATAAAATTATTCAAAAAAGATCTATTTCAATTTCGTGGCTGTAGTGGTCACGTGGGAATGTGTGGCTCTGGCGGTCATCCAAGCTAAGCAGCGTTCAGTCTGCCCAGTACTTGGATGGGTGTCCGCTTAGGCACACCTAACCGCGTGGGACTACAGTCGCTAGGCACGAATGTAGAAAACCATTATGCCCATTGAGTCAGTGTGACCAATGGACACAGTGCAATCCCTGCATTATCGGCCGGCTACACGACTGAGGTTTTCCATGGTTTCCGTATCAGTCCAATCCCGAATGGGGTGCAGTTGGGGATAAAGGAAGTCGGCCCATGGTAACGCAGATAGGGAAGGGAACAACAAAATGTAAAAACCCGGGAGGGTATACATATGGAATAAAAAAATAAAAAATAAATTTCAATATGAGACTTTTGAAAAACTTCAATTGAGCTCTGAAACTCTCCACCTGAAATTTTTGAAAGTCTCAAGTCAAGACTTTCGAACGTCTCAAGTTGAAAGTTTCGAATGACTCGAGTTGAGACTTCCGAAAGTCTCAGTTTAAGGATATCCAAGTATCTTATAGGTGGGTACGGACTACACCATACATTCGACTATTTTCAATGATCGAATTTGTCTATTCAGTTGCGTTCGAAAAATTTGAAAAAAATTATGAATATTCAGCATTATTCAAATTACATTTTACATGGAATTATTATCTTTTTAAACATTCGGTGTTTATAAATAAATAATTGCAATTGTTTACACTTTCGGAAACCGTATTTTTTAAGGCATGCCATCAATTTCTGGTCAAATTTTGAATATGAATACATTTGTTACGATTCGAAACAAATGATTTTTGTAGTGAAAAATTGATTGTTTATAAATTATTCATAGAAAATGTTCGTAATTTTCAAAAATAACAATTTTTAAATTATTTCATCTATTTTCTTCTACAAGTAGACTTTTTAATTTTTTTCAGATTTTTGAAATGTTTTCTAACGGTTCAATACCGAGATTCAAAATGAGATTTGCAAAGTTTATAATAAAATCATTGTAGAATGTCCAGAAACTTGAGGTCAAATGGGACTCAAATGAAAGCTCTGATGGTCGACTGCAAAACTAGGTAAGCATTTCACTGGAGAGAAAATTGGCAAAGTACTTGGATATCCTTAAGATCTTTGAAATCTCAAAATAAGGATTCATGCGAAATATCGCAACGAATTGCGAATGCAATTTTTCCTCGTAGAATTTTTCCATTGCTCTCAGATTTTACAGTCTTTATTTAAAAATGATCATCAATTGAAATTTCCTCATCTTATGTAATCACTCAATTTTTATAACATTGTCTACTTATTAATGAATCCATTATTTTATAAAGATCTGAATTGAATTACTCACACTCCACCATCTTCGCAATATTTGCGTCCACTTCTGTCAGTCTCTGCGTTCTCATCAGTTTCTACTGCCCGCTTATTCCTGCTTCGCTTTTCGTCAGTATGTACTCTGTAATAAATTTTCAGTTGATAAAGTAATTTGATTCTACTTGCCATCATGTCATAACAGAGTTTTTTCATTAGATGCATACGAATTCTGTGAGAACGGCTGAATCCTTGCGACTTTCGGCAGTGAGTCATCAGCCTTGAGTATGGGTAATGCTTTGCTCAGGAATTTTAACGTGTGATTTTTTATCAGCTCACTGTAACATAGAGATAAATTACTATTTTTTGTGACGTTTTTATTATACTAGGTAATGAGTCCGGTTGATATATGGTCCTTGGCCCAGTTTTTCATTGTCTATGTTATATGCGTGCGTCTAATTGTTTAATCGCTGATAATTCTAATACAATAGATCTTCAAAGATTATCAAGAGATGGGGGTAGAGATTTAGTTTTTATCAGTCATCATAAAATAATGACTGTACCAACTAGTAGATTACCAAAATCAACACCGAATTTTCTACTGGGTATTTCTTTTGGTTGAACTGCAAATATATACACGGAAGAATATAAAATTAGTTTTTATTGTGGGAACATAGTAGAACGCACGGAAAAATTTAAGAGAAAAACCTAGCGAATTCGCTAGACAATTCCATTGGATTTCTATCAATCTTTCTATTAGTTTTTGGCCGATTTTATCATTCTGTTGACTTTTCTATTCTATTGACTTTTTGGAAAAAGTCAATAGAATAGAATAGAATAGAAAAAAAAAATTCTAAGAGAATTAGAATTTAGAGAGAAAAAATTTCCGCTTCACCCAGCCGGGAATCGAACCCGGGTCTCCCAGATACGCGCCGGGCACTCTTACCGACTAAGCTACCGGGAACCACAGAAATTCACTCTCCAAAAAGAAATTCACTTTTTCCAAAAAGTCAATAGAATAGATGTAGATTCTATTGTCTTTTTTTTTTAAAAAGTCAATAGAATTCGATTTCTTTGTGCAACGTACTCCATTGAAATATTTTGCACAGAATTTCCTCGGTTTAAATTTTCTAAATTTTAGTTTAATTTTCTGAATGAAAAGAAATGAAAAATAAAATGAAAAAAAACTTGGAAATATTGAGCAGAGGAAATTGTATAGAAAATATCTCAGCAGAATAAGTTGTATAGAAAAATCGAATTCTATTGACTTGTTCTGTGGAATATTTTACATTGAAAATTTCAGTAGAAAACCAAAACCTAATCGGCCAAAAACTAATAGAAATTTCAACAGAAATTCAATAGAATTGTCCAGCGAATTCGCCAGGTTTTTCTTCTAAATTTTTTCGTGTATATTCTGTGAATTTTTAGTATGAAAAAGCCACTGAGAAAAAAATTATTTTTGCCAAATATCCATTTACTTTAGAGAAATATTTATTTTTTCAGTACTGTATTTCTCTAGTCGAGGCATTCTCAGGCAATCTTCATTAAGTTTCAATTATGACAATTATATTGCTCTAAAAGATATAATTACAAGATATGATAACAAGTTATGACCTTGAGTGAACCCCCTCAATAATTATCAACACTAAAAAATTAATCGAAATTCTTTCTTCTAGGAAATAAGATATTTAGGAGAAATGAATAATCATTAAAGGGGTTCATTTAAGGTCAAGTACAAGATAGTCGTCTTATATGACAATCAATATGATTATCGTAATTAAAACCTGATGAGGATATACCTATGAGGCTAATATTTAGCAAAATTAAAATATTATAGAGTCTGTTGAAAAATTACTGTTCAACATAGTAAAAATTGCGAGTCGGTATAGTGGAAAATAGCAGCATAAGAATTGAATTTTCAATTGACACGAGTAAAATTTAGAAGTATAAAGATGAATTATTACTTCGTCGGTTGAAAAAATATTCTCTCTCCGTTTCAAAACGAATATTTGCGGGGAAGAACGAGGGAGAAGGGGATTTTTTGAATAACCGAAGTGAAAAACCATATTTAATCTTCTTTATCATTCTTAAAAATTATTATCGGTAAAAAAAGCCAAAACAATATTTTGAAATGATTTGACTAAAGTTGTATTCTTTTAGTTTCACCTTATACACTGAGAGAAAAACCTGAAGTTTGATTTACAATAAGAAAATAGTTGAGGCAGTTTTGGTGAACGATACGATTTTTTTTTGTATGCGGCACATAACATTATAGTAACTTCACAAGCGTAATTTTTGCAAATCAAAATGCAGTTGAACTAACCAAAGTTCAACAGTAACCACGACAAATCTATCGTGAGGAGAACTATAAAATAGTTGCAATGACTACATTTCATTGTAGTAATTACTTCTTTGGCCGTAGTTACCGTAACCCATGAACAATTGTTGAGGACTTTTTGACTATAATTCGATGGTGATGGAATATAGTCAGAAGAATCCTATTTTTCTTTCAGTGTAAGCAAAAATTTTGCCCCACCTATATTCATTCTGAAAAAGAGGAGGTGTGAGAGGAGAATGGAATTTTTAGAGTTATAGAATCCGCCACCCGAGCCATTGCGTGGTCGACGGAGGAAGGGATTCCAAGAATTGAAATCAATCGACGCTCTCATCGTCCGCTGGAATTTTTACTAGTCCACATAGTAATTTCTGTAATTTCCTCGACTACAATCTAGGAGGCGCGAGAGTGTAAAATAAAGTTTCAAATCGTAAGAAAAAATTACAATTTAACATAGTAAAAATTCATATGGTCCGATTTAAGTACTTTCTCCTCGTTCAATAGTAAAAATTGGTAAAAAATTGGGCGTTTTTAACACTTTTGAAAATTATTTTTTCGTACTGACCTTCACTTTTCCTTGTTCGGGGATTGGTTTTGGCCCTTCCCCAAACTCGTAAAAGTGAAAATCACTACGGAAACATATCGTTCACAACAAGTGCCATGGGGTTTTTTTAATAGCGTGGCTGGCCAGTCCTCGCCTTCGGCTCGGACACCAACTCCACACGAGTAAAAAATCCTATGGCACTCGCCCTGAAATATACTATTTTCATTCGTGCATCTTATCCTGTTTTGTTCGTCAAAAATTACTATATCAAATCGTAAAAAAAATTAATTTTACATAGTGAACGTTCGATTAAAATCAATTAAATATTGAAGTTTTTCATGTTTGGTTCTCAATTACGACGTTCACATAGTAATTTTTCATTTTATATTCTGTTCGTGTATTATTCCTTCTTCTTTGTTTTCTATGGACACATTGATCCAATATAGTTTAACCGCCTAATATGATAAATCCACTGAAATTTAAAGTGCGTATTTAATCAATTTAACAAATGACGAATAAAAAAAAAAATTTTTAATCGTGAAATCTGATAAATAATTTCGTTCTCGGACTGAGAGAAAAAAAGTTTTCCAACAAGATCACATTCTCCTGTCCCGAGAGAATTTTTAAGCGTTCTTAAAATTATAAATGATGTCCTTCCCATAAATTGATGTTGGCATTATATCTCGAATTTATTTTCATCAGGACTTTGATCACACAAAATCCTACACAAAGAGCACAACACTTAAGATCAATTTTTTATACACTTGAATTGATAGCGGAAGCGTTCTTCGTGCAATCGAAATAAGAATTCCTCAGTTGGAGATGATGAGTGATCAGATCGAGAATGTATGAATTCTCACAATCCATTAAATTCTAGATACAACGTTAACTCCATGAATGTATGGGAAGACTTATTCTAAAACTCGAAAATTTTCTCGGGACAAGAGTATCTCATTCTGTTCAAAGACTTCTTTCTCTCAGTGTGAGCACAAAATTATTTACCAGGAGATTTCACGGATTGAGGATTTCTAGGAATTGAGAAGAAAATATTTTTTTGTAATTCAGTGCACATTTCATTTTTCTCGGAGTACACATTTCTGAACTCATGCGAAATATCGCAACTTTTTTCCTCATAGAATTTTTCCATTTCTCATAGATTTTATAATCATTATTGAAAAAGCGATTATCAATTGAAATTTACTTCATGACATGTTTTTCTGTTGAAAACTCTTGCGTCAAATTTCATCGTTCGATAAGCGGACTCATTACTTTGATAGGCTCGACAAATATCTCTGACAAATATGAAAGAAAAAGAGTCTCAAAACTTACAATGGATATGAAGATCCAGCAATGTTGTGTTTCATTGGATTTCTGGGAATGTAGCCCTTATTCAGGTCACCGCAAACATTGTGGACAGATACGAATCCCTTCCCTTGGTTTCCAGTATCTAATATGACATGAAAGCCCATCAGAAATCAATATTAATGTATATTATTATCACATTGATATTCCACGGACAAAAATTGATTGTCAAATAAACGAGTGGGAAATTGCATTCGTCACAGTATACTCAATATTTTTTTGCTAATTAATTAGCAATTTGCTTTCGAATGGAATTTCTATGACGATGTATTTTAAATTCAATTCAATGATTCATTGAATTCAACATTGCTTCAATGTTATATATTTTGACATTTCCCTGAATATTGATTTCAAAATGAATTTTTTCAACAACAGATAATGTTATCAATCTCATGATCGAACTCGGTTAGTGATGCCCTCGAGACTAGTCGAGAATTATTTTGAAGAGATCGTCGCGGTCTGGAAAAACATCGAAAGTTTTGGACTCGTCGCAATCTCGAAAGACATTGGATCGGTGCATCTTGCCACAATTCCGGGAGGATTTATCTTGCCTGGATCTCGAGATTTTCGGTTTTTTAAGTTCACGAGACGAGACGAGACAGATATTAAGACAAACATTTAAAAAACAGAAAATACTGAAACTCAGACGTGATGCATTCTTCCAAGTTCGTGACGAGATGCACCGATCCAATGTCTTTCGTGATTACTACGATTTCTAAACTTTCGATGTCTAGTCTAGTCTAGTCTCGACGGTATCACTAAACTCGGTCGACATGGCATTACACGGAGAAAAAAATACATCGTAATTTTGTGAGAATCCTTCCAAAAATTAGTGCGCTGTTCACCAACGCTGGGACATAACAGGGAGTCATCGGAGAATTCGCATGTGGCACACTAATTTTTACGGGAATCCCTCGAAAAAGTAGCTGGAGTCCCACCAAAAATTAGGGTGCCACTTATGAATTTTTCGACGACCCCATGTTATGTTCCGGCGTTGGGGGACAGCACACTAATTTTTGGGAGATTTTTTTCTCAGTGTAGGAACAATATTTAAAATCACAATTGGATTCCTTTAAGGTACTTCCGCAGTAAGTATACTTGGTAAAATTTTCGAAATGGTATAAAGACGCAATATTTGGATCATATGTTGTTGACCACATTAAAAAGATATTCCCAAAATTTCAAGTCCCTGGTCCACCCCATTTTTGAGCTATGCATCGTCAAACATTCAATTTTTGTTTTTTCCATTTTTGACGATGTATATCTCGAAAATGGGGTGGACAAGGTACTTGAAATTTTAGGAATAGTTTTTGAATGTGTTCAACAACATATGATCCAAATATTGCGTCTTTATACCATTTCGAAATTTTCACTAAGTATACTTACGGCGGAAGTTCCTTAAACAATTATTTTTTCAGTTATCGTCGAAAAACAATCGGTCATATACGCAGACGTACATACATGCAGACTAAAGATGCAAAATGACCGTCATTTTTGAGATCGCGTCATGTGACGCACAAATTTTCCAATTAAAAATATACACAGAATAATCGCAAAATAATAGTTTTTCAAATACACACCATGACACTCTTTATCACTATCAATATAAGGTGGAGGTCGCACTTTCGGTGGTTCCGCATTAGGGGATTCAATAAAGGCGTAATAACCTTCTGGTGGTTCGTCCTCTAGAATGGACGAGTCATTCGTTTTAGGAGCCAACTTGCTGGGAGTGGGCTCGGCAAAGGCGGAGACGCACATGAGAATCATCTGAAAATTTTCAAACATCGGGATTAAATCCAAATCGTACATGAACTAACTTCATGGATACCAGTTGGACTAGTAGGGGAGGGTCGGGCAAAATGGGACGTGTTGAGATCTTCATTTATAAATAAAGATATTGACAATTAGAGAAGATAACGAAAGGTCCCATTTTGCCCGACTCTCCCCTACTAGTTTTCCATTTCCAAGGTGATTACAATAACTTCCCTACCTGCGAAGTTGAAAATTACCTAGAAAATCGTGAAAAATTTCACTGTGCGAAAGGTAATCGGGGAGCGAAATTTAATGAAACAATACCTGTTTGTTGGGGATATTTCACGATTCGATTGGTAAAAAAAATCATCTATTGATGCAAAAATTATTCTCCTGTACAGGAAAATTTTCCACACCGATAGGGTCTTTTTTCTTGCACACGGAGAGAATGTTCAGTAAAAATTACGGAACTCACAGTTCGCTCACCGATTACGGAATCGATTTGGAAAATTTAAGTGACGGTATCGTAATTTCTCGCAGACGATTCAGATAAAAATTACGGAACGCTCTGGAAAAATTCCGTGATGGTTCCGTAAAATTTCCTATAACTATATTTTGCTCCGGGAATTACGGAAAAGATGCGTAATTTTTATTGAATATTTCTCTCCGTGCACCCATCTGAACGTCATGGGGACGAACGGAAGTGAAATTTGACCGGATGCGTTCGGTAAAAAATCATTCTCCGTTATAGAAAAATTATACGCAATATTGAGTAATAATTCACCTCCACTGGGACAATTTTTGATGGAGTGCAGGGTAAATTTTACAGTTTCGACACAAATTACCCTCACGTTCAGTAAATTTTTCCGAGTCAGCGGAAAAAAATTCACTATTCGTCACGTACATTTTCTTCAAATAGCGTGAAAAAGTACTGAAAATTGAGTTCACTTCGCCATTACCTGACTTATTAGGTAATTTTTCTCCAACTTTTTTCTCCATGTACATGTTTTAATTGGAATGAAACAATAATGAGAAAAAATTCTTTAGAATGGTTGCACCTGGATATTGTTGTTATTCAGTTCAAATATTCATCATTGACAGTACAATGCACCGTTGAAATTTTTTCTTTTATTGTTCACGCACGAAAAAATTTAATAGTAAAACCTATCGAATTCGTTGGAAAATTCTACTGAATTTCTATTAAACTTTCTATTAGTTTTTGGCTGATTCTATTGACATGTTCAATAGGAAACATTCAATAGAAAAAGTCAATTGAATTCGATTTTTCTAGATAACTTATTCTTTTCATATATTTTCTATAGAATTTGCTCGACTCAAATTTTCTAATTTTTTTTCATTCCATTTGTCTTTTCTTCTCATCAAGAAAATCAATCGAAAAAACTTGGAAAATTTGAACCGAGGAAATTCTATAGAAAATATCTCAATAGAATAAGTTATACAGAAAAATTGAATTCTATTGACTTTTTCTACTGAATATTTTCTATTGAACATTTTAATAGAATCGGCCAAAAACTAATACAACAGTTCAATAGAAATTCAATAGAATTTTCTAACGAATTCGATAGGTTTTTCTATTCAATTTTTTTGTCCGTGTTTTCTGCTACGAGATATCTTGATCATAATGAAGCTGAAACTAGCAGAATATTCGTCAGCGGAAAATTCAATTTAGGGGGGTCACCAACTCATCTTCAATTTTCTTTTCCATTCCGTCACCAGATTAGATTGCCAAATTTTATGCAAGTCGTGTTTATTGCGAGAAGTAGTTATCGAATTTTTATATCATTTATTAACCTCCCGCTGCGTAGAGTTTCATGCAGTACTGCTTTCACTGGCGTTCCTGCATTTATGTACATATGTAGCGAAAATATGTCAGCAAAATACACATACGGGTTTTTACATTGTGAAAAAGAAATTATGCAATTTAGTTAAAAAGGACAAACAAGTGGGTAATTACTTTTTTTATGAATGAGTACAGTTATTGTTGCTAATAAATTAGGAATTTGCGTCCGAATGGGTTCTCGTTTTTAAATTCTTATTTCACTATTCTCTACTTCTAAAAATTAAGTGATAGTTGCACTTGAATTCTCAATGCTGTGAATTTGAATTCAATTTAAGATCAAATCGTTCATGAACTCTCTCATTTAGGTTGGAAATTCAGGATAATTGGGTTTTCCATGTTAGATCATCACTGATATTTCAATGACATTTAGAATTTTCAAATTCATTGCGGAAATTGAACATCACGTTATCTCAATTTTCAGTGGATTTAAAATTCAGAAAAATTGATTTTTGAATTTTCAAATTATTTAACAATTTTTATTATTATGTGGACCTGAAAATTGCAATTCTCTTGCATACTCCAGAATTAAACTCTAACTGATTTCTCAATAACAAAATACTTTCGTAGTTATTGGCCTCTGCGGTCATTAGCTGATTTGAGGTGATGAAATCTATGATGTCCAAATAATAAAAAATTGATCTGGGAAATATCTACGAAATAATTTTAAAAATTCGGTGGAAATCTTCTCCATAATAACAAAATACATGAAAAATTTCTTGTGAATGACTGATTGTTCACAATCTCAAGATTTTTCAGGAGTAATTTTCTAACAGTGTTTAAGACAGTTTCGAAATATTTAGTACCCTACTAAAAAAAAATTCTACAAAAAATTGTAACTTAAATTTGAACAATTACAAATCGTCTAAACAATTACAAACTCAATCGAAAACCTAACGAATTCACTAGAAGATTCTATTGAAATTCTATAGGAATTCTATGGGGTTTCTACAGGATTTCTATTGTAATGCTACTGAAAAATTTTATTTTTCTTTGCGCTGATTCTATTAAATATTCAATAAGAAAAAGTCAACAGATTTCGAATTTCTGTTTGAATTTTTCTCTTGAGTTTTTTTCCATTAGAAATTATTGGGCACAAATTTCCTAAGTTTTTCCCGCTGGATTTTGTTTCGTTTTACATTACAGAATGCGAGTGAAAAAAACTTCGAAAATTGATGCCCAAGCATTCTTATAGAAAAAATCTCAAGAGAAAATTTCAAACAGAAATTCGAAATCTGACTTTTTCTTATCGAATATCCAATAAAATTAGCGCAAAAACAAATAGAATTCTCCAATAGAATTCTAATAGAAATCCTACAGAAATGTCCTAGAATCCCTATAGAATTCCAATAGAATTTTCTAGCGAACTCGCTAGGTTTTCTTTGAATTTTTTCATGCGTGCAACAAACTCCGGAAACAATACTATATTCCCCACCAAAAATTTGATTCCTCAAAAAAAACATGAAGTACACGGAGGGAAATTTTTGATAAAAATTATCCTACCGTTCTATAAAAGTGTATCATGTCATCGTTTCCTCATTTCTATCCCGAAATTTAGTAAAAATTAATATATGATGATCAAATTTTATTCTACGTTAGAGAAATTTTATCCTGATAAAAATAAAAATTATCGCGTCGGTAGAGTAAAAATTACTGTACCGGTAGGGTAAAGATTACCAACCGTTCTAGAATTTTCGTTGTTATCTACATGAAAATTATTGGACTGGAAGGGTAAAATTTATTATGCGTCAGGATAAAATTTCTCTAACGTAGAATAAAATTTGATCATCATATATTAATTTTTACTAAATTTCGGGACAGAAATGAGGAAACGATGACTTATATGATACACTTTTATAGAACGGTAGGGTATTTTTTATCAAAAATTCCCCTCCGTGTAGTTAAAATGTTCTTTTTTTGAGCACCACGCATAAGAAGACACGACGATCACAAAATTGAATTACCCTCAAAGTATTCCTCGTGCAGTCTCTTGGAGAGACATCACATAACCGTTATTACTCGAGCACGTTACATATATTGGAGTTACGGTTACCGGAACGATAGGATACTTTCAGAACCGGTATTGACTACCACGGAAATACAACCGTCAAGAAAATGCGACCTGCATTGCAAATTCAGTTGGGCTAGGCAACCGAAATTATTATTGCCATTTCCACTGTTATGTATTCACTAGATACTGCTCCTTCACTTAATGGTCGTATTTACTCTCGAAATTATCACGTAATTACGAATGTTCAAACACTTTGAAACCCATTATTATCTCGTTTATTTGTTTAAACAATTACCAGATGGTTACGACAATTTCCACCCAAGAAATTGATTTAAATATTTGCAGGAAAATCAACGCAATTCGCAGTAATAGAAATTGTTAATTAATTCGTTAAGTAGAACAAGTGATTGGGAACTTACAACAAACGTTCGAAAATCCATTATTACGAGTATTTTATCTTTCGGAGAACAAAATAACTGTAAAGCGGTGGACAAAAGTGTTTTGGTGTTTATAAATATATTCACGGGAGGAGGGCGCTTGGTTCCCGGACGACGGTCATAGGAAAACTGAAGTTCTTGAACCCATAGTCCCCGATGTGAGCAACATATACCTTCACCGATTTCTTGTCCGTATGTATGCTCCTCGAAACGATCAGGTTAATGTTCCACATTCCTACCTTTCGAACAGGTAAACATCTCCAAACGAGTATGACCTTGACCGAGTCAATGAGATTGCGCGGCATTTCCGGAGCCTCCGCTCATTGCCCTTAGACACCTATCCATCAATTTTGAAATTATTAATAGTAGCATAGCAGCCTTTGTGGCTGATATCACTTCTGGTTTTCTTACAACTCCATAGAATTACTGAAAGTTTACACTTAAAAATTTTTGGAAAATTGAGTAACAGTTGCACTTGAATTCTCAATGTTGTGAATTTGAATTCAATTTGAGATTAAATCGTTCGTGGAAGCTCTCATTCAGTTTGGGAATAATTGAAGTTTTCAGAATAATTGAGGTTTTCCGTGTTAGTTTATCACTGGTATTTCAATGCCATCTAGAATTTTCAAATTCATTGCGGAAATTGAACACCGACTTAGGTTTCAGTGGATCGAAAATTGAGGTAAGATGTTGCTTGAATTTTCAAATTATTTAATAATTTTTATTTTCATGTAGATCTGAAAATTGCAATTATACTGAATACTCCAGAATTCAACTGATTTTTCAATAACAAAATACGTAGAAATTTCGTGTGAATGAGTGATTGTTGAAAATTTCAAGATTTTTGACTCGAAATTTCAGGAGTAATTTTCTGACAGTGTATTAAGGCACGCTAATGTTCTTTTCTTGTTTGGTTTATTTTTTGCGGTTTATAAATAAATTAGCCCTGAAGAGGACCGTAACATGGGTCGATACGTAGACTTTTTTATATTTGAAATTTGTCTTTGCCTCATTTTTAACCTCCAGTGACCGGACGGCTGATTAATTTTAAGCCTAATTATTCAACTGCGGTCGACAACTCCAATTAATTATTGATAGTTTTTGCTTCCGAATGGAAACTTCGTAATCTTTCAGCTTCAAGTTTGGAGTTATGTCGACCCATTATGATCCCAAAAGTCTGAAAATGCAATTTTTAGACCTCGTCTGTACGTGTGTGTATGTGTGTACGTATGTAACAACGCTTTTCTTCAATTATTCGCTGATGAGTGGACCAAATTGAATCTTTTTCCGTTATTTCACTTCAAATTAATTCAATTATAGCTTAAAATGTTTTTTTTAATGCCATTGAATAGAAGTTGAGAGATGATTACGATAGCTGTATTGGTTGATTTGATTTTTATGATGATTGTTCAAAATTTCGGATTTTTCCTGAATTTTAATTTATTAGTAAAAATAACTATACTATATACAATGCAAGAGCCATTTCCCATTTATTTTTCTTTTTTCCGATTTTTAATCAATTGTATAACTGACGATCCACAGTTCCATAATTTTGCCTCTTTTCTATGTGGTTTTTATCTGAGGTCATAAACAATATTTCGAAAAGTACACGGAGAGAAATTTTTGATAAAAATTATCCTACCGTTCTATAAAAGTGTATCACGAGTCATCGTTTCC